AGTGGTACTTTTAATTACCATGTTAATAAATGTGCATAGTTCATTAGACGATTGTTAAAGGTACAGTCCTATAAAATGTTTCAAACCGCAATAAAGATCTTAAAAGAACAATGAATTTGAGTATTGTGTCTTTGTATACTACGACTTGTAATTATGGGTAACCCAGAGCATAGATTAAAACCATAACCGTTACGTACAATGTTTTACCAACGATGAGCATGTCCCTGAAATTAGTTTTTGGAACTTGGGATGTCTGTAACATGTGGTGGTGCGCTGTCACCAATGATTCCTTTCAAAGTGCGCAGTTACTATTTTTCCAGGTGTGATCTGTGATCATATGCTACTAAGAATTGTATAATTGTATCTTCTTGGCTGATTTATGGAACTGTCATCATATCCTGAACCTTTATCACGTGTTGTACTTCATAAGGGGCCCACCCAGATAATGTTGCTTACAGGCCTATTGTTGTGTCATTAGGCCATTTCTTGTGACAGTGTGATGACAATAAAGTTGAATTCTATTCTATTTTTTGCAAAGCCGTTGTTTAGAGATGAAGCAATCAGAGAAGCAGGGCAGGAGGAGAGACAGTGGAAAAGTCAGCACAGACCGGCCCAGTCTGAGAGACCTGCCATAGTGGCTCTTTAAATGTTCCCCTGATGCATTTTAGAAACCATTAAACTGAAATATCTTCATCTCTTGTCTCGATACGCTGCAATCCTTTTTATTTACGGCCCATATCCTAACCAGAGCTCAGTCTGAGAACCTCTGTCTGGATAATATGTCTGATTGTACAGCATTAGCATGAAAAGAACTCAGTCTGTGGACTCCCGCTGAGAACTCTGGGTTTTTCTAGAAGCAGACTTTCTATCTGAGGCTCCTGCTGTTTCTCTATCTTGCTTTTTGCCCAGACTTTCATGGGGTAACTTAGTCCATTAGCTTTACTTTATCATTAGTGCCAGACTGGGATGCTCCGTTTCCCTTGTTGTCTGGTAAATGGGGGGACTGCAGACGCTTTATCAGAAAATGAATGTCTGCAGTCTAAGAAAATAGAGGAGCACTAAGCCAACTGTGTGCATGAAAATGATGAATGGGTTGATGAAACCGAGATGATGGATGGGATGTAGATCTGATCACCAGTGGAGACTTTGAATCATAATCAGACTGCACTTTGTTTGTTCCCTGAACCTTTAAACTCATCCCTGAGTGTTTTAATAAAGGTCCATTCTGCTTTTAGATGGATCTATGAGGAAGGGCCAATGAAAGTGGGCTGTGAGGCTCTCTTCTTTGCAAAGAAAACTAACCAGAAGCTGTGTGACTGTGTAATGGGGTCTGTTCTAGTATGAGCTGATGTCTTCCCAGTAAGAAAAACCACTGGTCCTCAGAGAACACCAGTATATTATGTGTGCAGCACACAGCAGATTTTGCTAGCAGGTTCTATTGAGGCCTGATCCGTGGACAGAGACCAGATGTGTAAAAAGGTTGGTTCCATCCAACATGTTAAACGGACCAATCAGTCTGATTGTGAAAGAAACCATGTGGCAACATGCCTGAAGACCAACTAACCATGAAGCAGAACACCACTGCCAGGTAATAACAGTTCTAGACTCTAGTGTGAGGACTTTTGGACCTTTGAGGTGCTGATGAGGAAGAACACTATGAGGTCAGAATGAAATGGGTGAAGAAAGCAGCTTCGAATGTGTCAAAGTGTCAGAGAAAGATGTTTGGGGACTCATTAAGCAAAGGCAGCAGAACCAAAGGGAATCCTCTGAATCTGGCATTCAGAACCTCCAGGTCAGGTCTTAGTAGGTGTTGATGGTAGGGAGTGGTTATGCAGCAACTGGGGAGCCTTTAAGCTTTTGGCCCTAATGAGTGATGTTCCACTGGGACTGGTTTACAACCAGTTAGAGGATGTGGAAGTGGAGCTCTGCTTTGTAGAAACTGAAGCCTTCTGAAAAGGAGAAATGTTCTCAGTCCAAAGTCTGGCTGCTTGATGCTCTGACCTCTGCTGACTCTCCCTAATTGAAGGATCCTGCTT